TCCCGCCCCTCAGGAGCACTGGGATGGCAGGTGCACCCTCACACCTGGTGGTTTCACATGGATCCTGGGGATTTGATGTCTGATCCTCACACATGTGCGGTGGAGCCATCTTCCCAGCCCACTCTGCTTGCCTCTTGTGATGGCATCTCTCACTGAACATAGAGCTCTAAGTCAGCTCTTGTGCTGGCCAGTGAGCTTTATGGATCTGTCTGTTACCACCACCACCCAGCTCCGATATGATAGGGGTGCTGCTGCTTCCACCTAGCGTTTTGCCTGGGTGCTGGGTCAACAGTATCCTCAAGCTTACATGGCAGCTACTTCACCCACTGAGCCATCTCCCTAGCCCAAGATTGGCCTTCACAGCCACGTCCTTGTTCAGGCTTTTGGGTAAACCTCGTGCCGTCACTTGTACTGAGCTTGGGGGGAAGCTGAGGAGCTGACTTTTGGAAGAACTTTGAACATTATGTGAATGTCTTTGGACTTGATCTGCAGTTAATAGGAAGTTGTTCTGGAGCACTGAAGAGGACACTGGCGTATCAGGGCTTGTCTGCTGTGCTGGCCAGATTTTATGTCAACTTGACACCAACTGTAGTCATATGCCTCCATAAGATGTGGCTGTAGGCAAATCTGTAGAGCTCTTTCTTAGTGATTGATGGGGGAGGATCCAGCCATCCCACCAGGGGTGGAGCCATCCCTGGGCTGGTGGTCCTGGTTCTATAAGAAAGCAGGCTGAGCAAGCCATGAAGAGCAAGTCAATGAGCAGCACCCCTCTGTGGCCTCTGCATCAGCTCCTGCCTCCAGGCTCCAGCCCTGCTTGAGTTCCTGCCCTGACTTCCCTTGATGATGAATAGTGATATGGAAGCATGAGCCAAACAAACCCTCCCTTCCCCAAGGTCATGGTGTGTCAACAATAGTAACCTTGACTGAGACATCTGCTGATCCATGGTCATCAGTGGGTCTGGGGAGGTCCATTGGTGTCATCTCATGAAGGATAGTAAGTCTGGGTCATAAGGGCATGTTGGACAGCCATGGTGGAGACAGAATTCATGTGGTGGAGGACAGAGACGTAAGGGAAGTGCTGAGCAAGAAGGATGGAACCAGCACCAGCAGGGGCCCAGGGGTGTGGTAGAGACCACAGTGTTCTCTAAGAGACCCTCGTGGTGATTCTGGAGCTCATGTATGTTGGAGTTCCTGCTCAGTTGAGGGCTGTAAAATTGCTTCCTGAGGGGAGATTAATGTTCTCAGACATTTTTGGGTATTTTCTCAAGGGTTATATGAACTGAAGTAGCTAACTACAGTGTTGTCCTCTGTAACTTTAACCGGGTCCCATGCAGGTGGTTGTGGCCCTCTGAGCTCTCAGCTGTCTCAGCATATTGGTGGAGACAGGAAGTTTCATACGGAGAGGAGGATTATGGTTGAGTGAGGCATCTCGGGCCTCCTTGAGGAAGCTGGGTGGCACTCAGATTCTGATGAGGGCTGAAGAGAGAAAAGGTGTCAGATCCACAGCATTGCCGTGCAGCCTGGGGCCTGGCAGAGGACCCCGTCATATAGAAGGCTAGCCAGCTGCCCACAGTGGTACCCAGGGTGAGTGGTTGTAGCTTTTCCACACAGTCATCTGGCTGTGCAGGCTTGTCACCCCAGCTCCTGCAGACGCTGAGGCTTAATAGTTCAAAGCCAACCTGAGCAACTGCGACCCTATCTTAAAGTGAAACCTGCCAAGTTCTAGGTGAACGTCTATTATTTCATAGATTTATATTGTCTGTATTAACACTATAACTGTTATAAGTTGTTCCATACTCATTGAGCTTGCCTTCTATAGAGTATACTTAAACCCTTGTTTTTAAAGCATTGTTTTATGTGCATGTATACACACATCTGAGTGAATGTCTGTATGTGCATTACATACATACATAACCTGGAGATGTCAGGACAGGGATCAGATCCCCTGGAATTGGAGTTAGGATTGGTTTCAAGCCATGGTGTAGGTGTTGGGGACAGAACTCTGTTCCTCTGCAAGAGCAGTAAGTGGCCTCTAAATGCTTCAATTTTCAAAACAACCTTTTTTTGTCCAAAATACGCACAGCGGTAAAGCTGCTGCACTAAGGAAACAGGTGTGCGATTTCGGGCATAATTTAGAGCTTGCAAACTTTATTTGGCATTATTTTTGGGGGGTAAGAATCACAGACCTTACCGTCAGCATGTGAAGGGCTCTAGCGAGGTTAGAAATTTAGAGGATGGATTTGAGGGTTTCACCCGTACTGGAGATAGGGCCCAGAGGACACTGGAACTTATTTCTGCTGGCAGGTCTCAGGTCTTCCTCCACCAGGCTTCCTGGCAGGGTTGAAGCCATAGTGTCCTGAGCTATGGTTTGAACGAGCAGATGGATTCAGTGTGTCCATTGAAGCCCTTTTATGTCCAGGTTTGCTTGGATTAACGTAAAGGTAGCTTTGGAGTCTCCTTTCTGAGATGCTTGGGACATGAAGTGTGGGGAATTTCAGACATTTTAGGAGTTTGGATTATCTGTTCATACCTATTGGAGATATCCTGGACGCGGGAGCTCAGAATCCCTTCAGTTGTCCTCACACAGTGTGCATTTTATACACAGCCTGCGCGTGCAATTTCACTGTTTAGTGCGCCTGTAGTTTTACTCTGACCTGAAGGCAGGCGTGATACTTCTCTCCACGTAGGGTTCTGTAGCCTGAATCTGCCTGAAATGGACAGTTTAGAATTTTTATCTCAGGCGGGCTATATGAGACAAACCGTAGTTCTTTAAAATCACTGCCTGCGCTTCCCCCACCCCCGCCCCCTCTTCCCCTCCTTGCTCCACTCCCCTTCATCTTAAATCTAATCACATCGCTGTGGGGGGTGCAGGGCATCCCTGTGCTTCTCTGCCTGAACCGTATTTTCTCTTCTGTTTCCTCTGCTTTGAATTGCCAGTCACCTGAGAGGTGGCAGGAGGAAGCTGCAACAGGGCGGCTGTTTCTGCTCTCTTGTTGGGGATCAGTGACAGCTGGGAATCTCCAGTGTGGTCAGGGCTTGGGATAGCTGCTAGCTTCCAAGTGGTTAGCGTAACGTGGGGACCTTGCCCTGCTAATGACAGCTTTACCGTCCAGTTTTCCTTAGGGCATGGCTCTTGAAGAGGAAACCTAAGATTCAGAGCTGGTGCAGCCTTTGTTCCTAGTTCGCCATGAGGGATTTAACGGAAATACCTCCCCAGTTATTGACAGCAGTGGAACATCTGTCTAAATATGACTTCCTGCCATCAGCCAGGGCCTCTCTGCTCTCGGATTAACATTCTCCTGACAGATGATGCTTGCTGGGCCAGAAGCTTTTCAGTGTTAGATTCCATTCTTTATTGCTTTAATTTACCTGGGGCAGAAGCAATAATATTCTTTCCAACAAAAGGAAAAGAAAAGTTAAAGGAGCCATTTCTAGCCAATAAAATGTTGGCAGTTGAAAATGTGTTGTAATATATATTTAGAAAACCTTTATGCAAATGGATCAAAGGGTTTAAGAAAACTTAAGTGCCTCTTGCCTTTAACCCATGAACATGCCTAATGTTGATAGTCTGTTTCAGGGCACAGTGTTGTCCTTTTGGGGTGATCTGGCTAGGGTCTCCCAGTCAGCCACTGCACCCTCCTGAAGGAGGGTAGCTGCTCTGAGTTTTCATGGATTTAATCATTTGGCTCTCCACATGCCAGACATGTTCTAGGCCCAGCTAGGAGCAGAGTCTGAAGGCAGCCTTCAGGTCTGCCTGGGGTTTGCTGAGGGTACAGGGTCAAGAGCAGGGTGTGGTTCTCAAGCTGTGTTGCTTTCTGGGTGCATTGCCCTCCGGTCAGTGAGCTGTTGTGTTCTGTATAAAATGGAGGCGAGTGTGATCGGTCTTGGTCAGTGCTCATGCAGTACATGCCATTCATTGAAGGGAAAAGTTAAAGTCTTGTGTGCATCATGGATTCTAGTGGCTTTTTCTTAGTCTCTCCTGGTTCTGAAGAAGAGGGCTAACTCCCACTACAGATCAGTGTCCCCATGTCCTGTCCCCACCCCCCCACTCGCCCTCCCCTCCCACCGTGCATGAACGTATTGGAAAACATGGCTGGTTATTAGTTGGAAATCGTGGTTGGTTATTAGTGAGAACTCTGGCATCCCCTGTGACTCCCTTTGGTTTCTTTAATTTCCTTTTGGCTTTGTAAGTTGATTTTTATATATAAATTATGTAAAAATTGTACTTGTAACATCGTAACTTTTAACTTTTAATTGCATGTATGAGAGGTTCCACCCCCACCCCCCACCCCCACACCCTGGGTTCTTTAGCAAGATGTAGGAGGTGTGATGGATGACTTCATTAAGCAAAGAAAACTGATGTTGCTGATTTTTGCCAGCACCAGTTTACGGGCACCTTGGGAAATAGCATAATTCTGAATAATTTGCTAAGTGTATTTTTGGATTGTGACATCTCTTCCTACAGACATGATGCAAATCTGAGTAGATTACAGTTAATTTAATGACTGACAGTGTGAACTTTCAACATGGAAAATTCCTTGGGCTGAGGAGATGGCTGAGTAGGCAAAAGAACTTGTCACCAAAGCCCAATGATGTCACTTCAACCCCAAGTCTCAAGGTAGAAGAAGAGAACTTGCCTTTCTCCTGAAAGTTGTCGTTTGACCTCCACATGCCTTTGACATGGGTGTGCCCAGAGTTCCTGGTCGCTCTGTCCGTGATGTGCAACTTAAAAGAGGACAGTATGTCCATTCCCGCCATTTCCCAGATTCCCAGTTCCTCCCTGCAGATACACCCATGTAACTATTTTAGAATAAATATCTGTGTTTAGTGATGATTTTATGTCTGCTCTTTGACGCCCTGTGTTTTACAAGGAGGCAGCTGGCAGCTGTGCATACGTGCTTGTGAGCAGCTTCCTGGGTGCCACCTTTGGAAGCATGGATTTGCACGGTATTTATGGTCTTGAGTTGCTCAGTGCCCACACCTGTGTTCTTCTGTTCCAGCTGCAGCATGAGAAGGCAGAGCTGGAGCAGCATCTGGAGCAGGAACAGGAGTTTCAGGTCAACAAGCTGATGAAGAAGATTAAGAAGCTGGAGAATGACACCATCTCCAAGCAACTCACTTTAGAGCAGGTGAGCGCTAGGCTTCCTCCTCAAGCCATCTTAGGAGCACTGAGGAATAGGAGGGAAGGAGGGAGAGACACCTTCCAGCTCTTCCCTCCCATGGTAGGGACTGTATTTTCTAAGTGAGTGTTGGGGAGTTCATGGAGACCCCGTCCATTCTCTCACATGCTGTCTCTCTTTAACTGCAGTTGTTTCAGGAGCCGTGAGGTGAGCTCCTGATTTCTAGTGGGAAACACCAAGTTTCTTTCCTGCAAAGCTTGGGTAGGGGTGGGGGAGATAGGTTGATGATGATGATGATGATATTCTAATCCCGGGATGGTTTCTGTGTCAGTCCTACAGTATGCTTGTGGGGGACCAAAAGCTGCTTTCAAGAGTTGTTCAGGAAAATTTTAGTGCTCTCATGGGAACGGGCTCCACTCGGCTAGCCTTGAAGAGATTGACAATGGAGTGGTAGACCTGGTCAGCGCATCCCGGGTCAGGGATGACCCTGATGAACTGTCCTTATGTTTCTGAGCCCCAGGTCTCCATTCACAAATAGAACAGGGAAGTCTGAAGCCAGGGTTGGCAGACAGGGAGGTTCAAAAGGTGGCTAGTCAGGCTTCAACGATCGTTTGTCTGACAGGGTGGTGTGGGTGTCCATTCCAGAGCTAGTCTTAGAAGCACACTCTGTTCCTTCCGCTCCTGTGGTACACAGCTGTGGCGGCCATCATCCTTCCATTCAGGCCACCGTATCCCTGTACTTGTGATCTCTGGTGCCTTTTCTCACTCAGTAGCCTGAAATGACACTTACTTGAGGCACGTTATTAAAGGCCAACCATGGTGTGGGTATGGGCTTCCATGTAAAGCCAAGCAGTGAGGTCACCCCATCTCTGTCTTGCAGACACAATCCCATGTAATGATTTGGCTAAGGCTCTTATCCGAGCACTCTGATCTCTCTCACAGTCTGCATATTTTTACTGTTTGTCTACCTTATGGCAGCTGGTTTGTCTGTCAATCTTCAGCTCTCGTAATTCATCTGCTTTATTTCATGTGTATGAGCGTCTTCCTTGCATGCATGTCTCTTATGTGCCACTTGTGTGCATGAAGTCAGAAGAGGTCATCACGTCCCACGTAACAGGAATGACAGGTGGTCATAAAGCACCATGTTAGGCTGGGAACCGAGCCCAGTTCATCTACAAGAACAACACATGCTTGTAACCACCGAGCCATCTCTCCAGCCCCCTATAGCTCTAGTTATAGCAGTTTGCCTGGTTAGGAAGGGAGTGAGAGGTCGGGCAGGTCTTCTTGTTACTCACACAGTTCCCTACACAAAGGTATCAAAGGAGACGGACTGTTACTGGGTTTCTGTGTGACTGAGTGGCTTCTTTAAAAACGTCTGCATCCCTTCTATGTTAAATTTGGTTTCCAAGGGTTGGCTCTTTCATAAGTATACCTAGAGTACTCTGTTTTTATTAATCATCTTTCAAATTTAGATGGAATATGTAAGTTTTAGGAGACTTGTTTCCCTGGTTTAAAAACATTGTTTACCTTCAGCCCTGCAAAGTAAACGTTTGAGGATTTGTGGTTCAGTCTATGATACAAGTCTAAGCCGTTTAACTGGGAGACACCCAGGCAGCTTAGTAGAGGTCTCAGCGTCTCAGTATTGTGCAAGTGGTGTCTAGACTTGACACCTGTATTAATGTCGATTTCCAGCACTTAAAGTGGCTTCCGCCCTGTGTGCGTTCGTAGGCTATGACCCCTTCCTAGGCATCAGTTGTGGTCACAAGGTGGCATCAGCAGAGCCTGTGGGCTCACAGGCCCTGGGGAGGTGGGGAAAGTGGTGTTGTGTGATGAAACTTTGCCAGGGGAGACACACAACACATGTCCACTCACCCTAGATAAAAGAACCCATGGCAGACCAAAATACAGACACCGCCAAAGTCCAGCCTGGCAAACCAGTGAGTTTTATTGAGGCTGTTTACAGGAATATGGGTGAGAGGTTACTCCCTGGAGCAGAGATGACTCAAAGACAGCTTGATCACCAAGGCCTGTGCCAATATGGGTGACAATTCACAAAAGCTGGAACCCTGGAGCACCCTGCACAGCCTCAACTCAAGCCGTTGCAACGTCCTTTCCAAGTGACTCTGGTCCAAACCTCTCCTAGCAGGTCATCCGGTTTCTGCTTCTTGCAGGCATCTGGTCTGGTCTCCAAGTCTTCTTTGAAGCTTGGCTCCCTTGAGTCTGAGGGGAACCCTCCTTTAGTATTGCTGACCCTTCAAGGGAGGGGCCTAGTGAATCTGGTCAGTTTCAGGGACTTCCTGAAGCTATTTGGAGTTGTTTATTTTCCTGTTTACAGAACTTCACTGGTGGGTGGAATGTTTCAATCTCAGAGGAAACTGACACAAGAAGGGGATTGAAAGCAAGCCTGGGGCAGGGGTGGTGGTCCCCACTGTCTGTCAGGCTCTCCGTTCTACAGGCCTACACAACAGCTAAAGGTACACATTGTATGAATTGTACTTATTAGGAAAGTTTGTCCAGGGTGTGCGCCTTACATAGCCTTTTGATGGAAGGAACTCTAAGATGAGACATATCAAGATTATATTTTAATTAAAGTGGAGATACGTAACGTCTAAAATCTCTCTCCCATTCGTGTGGGCAGACCCTGGGTGGTTAACTATGAAGAACTGTGCTGCATCGTTTTTCACTACAGGTAGCCAGTGTTTGGAAGGGTTGTTCTGGTTTCTTCTGAGACCCTGGTCATCATTGTGTATCTGTGTGCGGTGCTATGCTGTCTCTTGCAGTCGTCTGTGTGCTGTGCTGTGCTATGCATGGCCTTTTAGCATCAATGGTACGTGCCTTTGTTTTTTTCCTTTGGGCAGACACTGTTGTCTCTTAGCTGCTTGAAGGGAGTGCTCTGCCCTCTGGCCCCACCATGGGCCACCGTTAACCAGAAGGTCCTGAGTGTTGCCTTGAGCACCAAAGGAGAGAGCTGTTGCTTACCTGTTAGAAGACAGCGCTGGGTAGGGGGAGTGAACGGAAGCAGGTGTGAATCTGTTTAGGTTTTGCTTTTGTTTCTGTTTTTTAAAGATCTCACTCAGGCTAGCCTCAAACTCAGTAGTATAGCCGAGGGTGACCTTGAATATCTGGTCCTCTGTCCTCTGGTGGGATTAAAGGTGCACATCACCGCGCCCAATTTCCAACCCAGGGATTCAAACCCACGGCTTCCCTAACTCACAGGTCACATACTTGATGTCGTTCATTCACAGTTGTGTCGCTGTCACTGGTCAGTTTTAGAGCGTTCCGCTGTACCTTCCTCCTTGCCCGTCCCTCCACTTAAGCACCTCACTGCCTTCTGTAGATGTCTGCTTCTTCTAGGCATTTCTTCCAGCTAACATTGTACAGTATGTGTTTTGTTTGTTTGTTTGTTTGTTTTGAGACAGACACCCTTTGTTTAGCATAATGTTCCATGTCTCCACACTTCTGTCCCTTTTCTGGCCAAATAACTTCCCACTGCATGCATATACCACATCTTAGAACTTATCCACTCATCATCTGGTGGATATTTGGATTGGTTGTCCTAGTGTTTTACAAAGATTTGTGTATGGGTGTGTGTGTGTGTGTGTGTGTGTACAGCAGGAGACCCCCACTTGGTATGGCCTCATACCTAGGAGTAGAAACTGCCAGATTACATGGTCACTATTAAAAACTGTACAAGGCATAGTTTAATAGCATAATTGATATTTTACGTTTGGTGGATTGAAGGTGAGAAAGGGCCCTTGGAAGGCGTTCTGTACAGGCTTTGTATTGGTTGGGCTGTGTGAATTTGAGGTGCAGCTCGGGCTGTAATGGTTTATAAGAGATGTCCTCCCTGTTCTTTCAGGCAGAGCCCTGCCCTTGGGCTCCCGGCTCTGGAGGCTACACTTAGCTTTGCTTCTGCAAAGCCCTTGCTGTCAGTGGATCTTGTTCAAAGTGGGGCTGGGGTTGGGGTTTCTCCTTGTGACAGGCTGATGGAGTCGCATGGTACTTGGTCTTCTCTTAGATGCAGAACCTAGATTCTCGCATGCCTAAGGGCAGGAGGGGAAGACGGCAAGCCCAATGAGTAAGGGGTGCCTGGAGCATCAAAGCTGTTGCCAGTGTTTTGTTGTAGCATGTGAATTCTTAGTTGAAAGGCTGTGGTGTTGGAAAGATAAGGATAGGTTTGGTGACGGGACGTCAGCTCTGCTTCCAGAATCCGTGACAGTGCCCTCCCGTTCCTGTGTTACCACCTCACGATCATTCTGCAGAGAAGGAAGCTCTTGGGGACTGTGATGGACAAGTTTGGCCTGTCAGTGGCCCAGCCCACTTGGGCTCCCTTCTCAGACAGAAGTACCAAACTTTCTGCTGTTACACATAGGCCACCCGTGGCCGGCGAGGGCAGTGTCCCCAGTCTGGTACTCTAGACAAGCGGGCCTTTTCTCCATCCCTCAGGGAACTTGATTTCTGTCTGTTCAAGCAGCCAACAAAAGTTCCTGTTTACTGAGGGTTCATTTCACATTCTAAATGCTTGATGCCAGGCATAAGCAGATGTATGAGCACAGGCTGAAAAGAACAGAAACCTTAAAGGTCTTTGCAGAACACAGTATTAAACTAGACTATTCTGGCCAAGATGTCTCTGGTACTGTTAGTAAATCCTTCCCAGGAGATCTTTGCTCAACAGCTTGATCACTGTACGTCCCTTCTTGCTAGCTACATTTTCTTAGATGACAGTGTAAGACCTGGGGTCTCACAGCTCAGGAGTTCAAGATCGCGCCCTTCCCAGAAACTCCCCCAGACCAAGACTCGTTGCAAAAGCAAGAGATTTATTAACCATTGCGCAATGGGGTCACCCCTGCCGGTCAGCAAAGAGTGGCACCCCGGAGACAAGACCTTTAGGTTTTTAAAAGAAAAATTGTGGGAGATTTGAAGTTGCAGTCTTGGCAATTTAGGATCGGACGAGGAAACTATAAAGTAAGATAATTGGTTAGTCTTAGGTGCTCAAGCTTGGCCAGTCC